TTTCAAAAGTCATTATAATCAGCTGAAAGATTAAACATTTTACTAATGAGCGGTTATAAAATGCATGTTCCCATACCGGGAGTCGAACCCAGGCCGCCTGGGTGAAAACCAGAAAGCCTAATCGCTAGACCATATGGGACCTTGCTAACCAATGAGATGAATTGCGTATGCGGTCCTCCACGACACCCAACCATTAGACCATATGGAACATCGTTAAGGAATGAGATGAGAGTAGTTAAAAACAGCTGAAAAAGATAAAACATTTTACCAATGACCTGTTATAAAATGCATGTTCCCATACCGGGAGTCGAACCCGGGCCGCCTGGGTGAAAACCAGGAATCCTAACCGCTAGACCATATGGGAGCTTGTTAACCACTGAGATGAAATGCGTATTTGGTCCTCTACGACACCCAACCACAGGACCCTATAGAACATTGTTAAGGAATGAGATGAGAGTCTTATTCCTTCTACCAATATATTTCTAAAAGCAACAAGTTGTCTTGACTTATCACTAGGCAACATAGCTCAGATGAAGCGAGCTTGCTTTGCATGTATGATGTATGATTGTTAAGGAAGGAGATGAGAGTCTTTTTCCGTCCACCAATATATTACTAAGCGCAACAAGTTGTCTTGGCTGAAAACCAGGAATCCTAACCACTAGACCATATGGGACCTTGCTAACCAATGAGATGAATTGCGTATTCGGTCCTCCAGGAGACTTAACCACTAGACCAAATGAAACATTGTAAAGGAAGGAGATGAGAGTCTTTTTCTCGTCCACCATTATATTACTAAGAGCAACAAGTTGTCTTGACTTATCAGTAGGGGACGAAGCTCAGAGGAAACTTGCTTGCTTTGCGTGATTGAGGTCCTGGGATCTATCCCCAGCATCTTCCAAAGTTTTGTGGCTTTTCAAAAGTCATTATAATCAGCTGAAAGATTAAACATTTTACTAATGAGCGGTTATAAAATGCATGTTCCCATACCGGGAGTCGAAACCGGGCCGCCTGGGTGAAAACCAGGAATCCTAACGGCTAGACCATATGGGACCTTGCTAACCAATGAGATGAATTGCGTATTCGGTCCTCCACGACACCCAACCATTAGATCATATGGAACATCGTTAAGGAATGAGATGAGAGTAGTTATAACCAGCTGAAAAAGATAAAACATTTTACCAATGACCGGTTATAAAATGCATGTTCCCATACTGGGAGTCGAACCCGGGCCACCTGGGTGAAAACCAGGAATCCTAACCGCTAGACCATATGGGAGCTTGTTAACCAATGAGATGAATTGCGTATGCGGTCCTCCACGACACCCAACCATTAGACCATATGGAACATCGTTAAGGAATGAGATGAGAGTAGTTATAACCAGATGAAAAAGATAAAACATTTTACCAATGACCGGTTATAAAATGCATGTTCCCATACCAGGAGCTGAACCCAGGTCGCCTGGGCTAAAACCAGGAATCCTAACCGCTAGACCATATGGGACCTTGTTAACCACTGAGATGAAATGCAAATTCGGTACTTCACGACACCCAACCACTAGACCATATGGAACATTGTTAAGGAAGGAGATGAGAGTAGTTATAACCAGCTGAAAAAGATAAAACATTTTACCAATGACCGGTTATAAAATGCATGTTCCCATACCATGAGTCGAACCCGGGCAGCCTGGGTGAAAACCAGGAATCTTAACCGCTAGACCATATGGGAGCTTGTTAACCACTGAGATGAAATGCGTATTCGGTCCTCCACGACACCCAACCACAGGACCATATAGAACATTGTTAAGGAATGAGATGAGAGTCTTATTCCTTCTGCCAATATATTTCTAAAAGCAACAAGTTGTCTTGACTTATCACTAGGCAACATAGCTCAGATGAAGCGAGCTTGCTTTGCATGTATGATGTATGATTGTTAAGGAAGGAGATGAGAGTCTTTTTCCGTCCACCAATATATTACTAAGAGCAACAAGTTGTCTTGGCTGAAAACCAGGAATCCTAACCACTAGACCATATAGGACCTTGCTAACCAATGAGATGAATTGCGTATTCGGTCCTCCAGGAGACTTAACCACTAGACCAAAAGGGAACATTGTTAAGGAAGGAGATGAGAGTCTTGCTGAGGTAGGGGATGTAGCTCAGTGGTAGTTCGCATGTATGAGGTCTTGGGTTCAATCCCCAGCATCTCCAAATATTTTTGTGGCTTTTCAAATTCATTACAAATAACTTAAAGATTAAGCAGCAATTTACCAATGTGTGGTAAATCTAGATGCGAGGCGTATTCCGTGCTCCATTATACTATGAAAGATTTCTACTCCAAGTTGACAAACTGGACAATAGGGGATGTAGCTCAGTGGTAGAGCGCATGCTTTGCTTGTATGAGATTCTGGGTTCAATCCCCAGCATCTCCAAAAGTTTTGTAGCTTTTCAAAAGTCATTGTAATCAACTAAAAGATTAAACTTTTTACCAATGAGCGGTTATAAAATGAGTGTTCC